TCTCATCATAACACTGACTTATGGATTTTGAACTTGCTAGCTCCTATAATTATGTGAACTGATTTATTTAAAAATTTGTGTGTGTGTGTGTGTGTGTGTGTGTGTGTGTATCATGAGTTATATGGTAAAAGAATATTTTTTCCCCATTGAGTTAACATTATCTTTAAAATATTGACAATTTTTAAAGAAGACATAATCTGAAGGGAGTAAAAGTAGTTGATATGTATATTTTACAGGCAGTTTGGTCATTTCCAAAAATGCAAATTCTGGGGCTTCTGAAGATGATTTGGGTTTGTATCTGTCAGAGCTAGTTCTTAGAACCTAAAAAGAAGTGTCCTATAAAAAAATCTAGACCTAGGATGGCCAATAAACTTCATTGATCTGAGACAACTTTGATGGGTTTCACATGTCTGAAATGCTGTATTGATAAGGGCTATGACTTTGAGTTTGGGTTCCGGAGGGAAGAGTGCCATGATTAATCACCTATGTCTGCCCAGGGACAGTGAGAAAAAAGTATGATGTATGAGTCAGGCACTTATTAGTGTCTGAAATTCTCTGGTTAATTTACACGTTTATTTGTGTAATTTCTGCCACCCTACCTCTAGGATGTAAGCTCCTTGAGAGCACAGGCCTGTCTCTTCTCTTTATGGATCCATCTTCAGAATCTAGGACAGTGTCTAGGTTTATAAAATATTCAAAATTATCAAAAGTATTTATACATAAATATAAAAAAATATGTGTTGAATATATTTTCTATTCTTGATCTACTTTTGTTGATTTTAATGCCTTTTAAATAAGAGATGATACTTTAAAAGCTCTATTTCTGGGGATGGCTCTCTGAATCTTAATCTTTTTTTCTGGGGATGGCTGTCTGAATCTTTTGGTTTAGTTGGGTTAAATTTTTTTTGAATTCCCGTTTTCCATTCCTTTTTAGGTTCTTCGTTAATTGCGTTTTGAATCTGAAATCTGCAATGTTGCTACCATTCTCTTTATTTGGAGAGAATCAGTCATTAAGTACCTGTTATATTCCAAATCCTTTAGTCAATGCCTGGCTTACATACATAAAGTTTTTATTTAGGGGGATCAGAGGAAAAAAACTAATGTTGCAATTTAACACAATAAATGCTTTAATATGACTATGTTTATGGTGGTCCCAGAGAGGGTACCATTGCAGGAATAGTGAACTTTATTAAAGTTACAGGGAATCAGTTCTCAGGGAAGTTTTCAAAGAAGACTGGATATTGGAGGAGAGCCTGCTGATAATAGTACTTGAAAAAGCAAAGAGATATGGAACTAAGAGCTGGGTTTGTGGAATTCTAGTAAACTGAGGAAACCTAGTTAATAGGGTGGGATGAAGGGAGTCCCTTGGTTGAGATGAGTAAGGGTTAGATCCATGCTGTTCATTATGACAGCCTCTGGCCCCATATGGCTGACGAATGCATGAAATGTGACCAGTTTGAATTGAGATGCGCTGTACATGTAAGGTACATATTGGATTTTGAAGAGTTAATGGTTAAAAATACAAATTATCTCATTACATTACATACATATATTTGGTTTCTGTGTAGATGGAAAATGAAGGTTGCCTAGGCTACCATGTGGAACTAGGCTCTGTTGATAAAGGCCCTGACTTTTTCACAGTAGCAGATCAACTTCAGGGGAAATTCTTCTTGCCAGGGTTATAGTGGTAGGAATGGGGTTGGTGGTGGGAGTCCAAGTTTCATCTGTGTTTGTTATCTATGCTTTTCCTGTAATTCACATACCAGGGGAAGGTGAGAAATAAGATTAGTATTCTCTTCCATCCTGACCTCCCCTTTTGGTTCCAGGTTGGTTTTTTTTTTTTTTATTTTAAAAGTATATTTATAAGCCAGATGTGGTGGCGTATACCTGTAATCCCAGCGGCTCTGGAGGCTGAGACAGGAGGATAGCAAATTCTGAGCCAGCCTCAGCGAAAGTGAGGTGCTAAGCAACTCAGTGAGACCCTATCTCTAAATAAAAGACAAAGTAGTGCCGAGAATGTGGCTTGGTGATTGAGTGCCCCTGAGTTCAATCTCCTGTGTCCCCCCTCAAAAAAAGTAAATGTATAGTATTTTCATTATTTTAAAAACTAGTATATTATACATGATAGTAAGGTTCACCTTGGCATATTTCTAAGTGCATATAACATAGATTTTTAATTTTAATCCCCAGTACAGGATGGGTATTTCTTCATGGGTTCTGCTGCTGAATTAAATATTCTGGTCCTGAATGGGTCTGAGAAACAGCAATTCATTTTCAGCTGCTAGAACATAACTGTTCACGGGGTCCCAGGTTGCAGGAGCCAGTTGCTTGTGATTTTAAGGTGAGGGAATCTGCTGTTCAACAGGGGTTGGCCTTGTTCCCCTTGTCCTCATTGTGCTTGTGTAATTGAAAGGAATTAGGTTTTAGGAAACAATTTTTTCCCCCAGTCTGTTGGCTCTTCTGATTCAACTACTGCCAACAAATAATTAGGCTGGGTTTCATGGATAATCCATATTTATGGCCATGTGGCATATATTTAACGATTACATGCAAGCTTCAAGGAATGTCATGACTTTAAAAAATGCAATTGTTTTTATTAATTCTTCTTAATTTATTAATCTATAAATTATTCCTCTGTAACAATGTGTTATTGTTTTACCCAGTTTTTTTTTGAGCAGGCTATGGATACATTTAATAGGTGAGAATAAAACTTTTTATTGTGGTTTAACATCATGTTCACAAATCTTGTTTATAGCTTGATAATTTTTTACCCATGGGTATACTCATACAGTTCCCAAAGGCTAACTCCTGATCATACCTGGTCAATATCTCTGATCCAGAGGTACTCACTGTACTTCTGTCATTGCAGGTCATTAACGGCATAAATTTTAACCACTTTGTAGATTTCTATCTAGGAACCTGCACGTTTTTATTTCACAGTGGTGTGGCTCTCTCTTTTTTGCAGTACTGGGGGTTAAGTGAACTCAGGACTTTGCATGTGCTAGGTAAGTGCTCTCTCATCAAGATACATGCCCATCCCTTTTTATTTACTTAATTTACTTTTGAAACAGGGTCTTGCTAAATTGCCTAGGCTGGCCTTGAACTTGTGATCCTCCTGCCTCTGTCTCTTGAATAGCTGGGATTACAGGCATGCTTCACCACACCTGGCATGGCATAGCTTTCAGGAGAGTTGTTACCAGTTATGAAATCTTTAGTGTATGTGTTCATGCCCTCTAAGACTCTGGGGGTAAATCTAAGAGAAATCAAGCTGCAGGTAGATAGACATACATTTTAATTTAATTGTTCAACTACTGGGAAGAATCTTCTGTATGCTCTGAGAGCAAGATAACTGAGGATGATTGTGTGCATGCATGTGTGCAGTATGCTATTAGTAATATACAGATATAGCTGTTCCTTTATTGCCTATTATGGAATGGAAAGAGAATGGCCTAGGTGAAACCTGTGTTAGGAGAGTGAATTTTGCAGGCCAAGTGATATAGCTTTCAGGAAAGTTGTTACTAGTTACTATTTGTAAGCACAGTGACTTAAAAACAAAAACAAAAATAACAATTTGCAAAGCTACTATACCTCCCATTCATGCCTAGTGTATTAGGTAACAGCACACTATCTATCTTTGTGAGTGAAAAATGCTTACTCCCGAACCTGCCTCCTTTAATGGGGATGTTTACTAGAGGTTTCCAAAGATATATAATGGGTGGTTGTAAGCATCTCCAGGTATTTTTTGAATGAAGGTGGTAATGGACAAGGAGAGAGGAGCAGACTTATACAGCTCAATGCACAACATACAAAAATGCATTTCAATTTTGGTTATTTTGATTATGAACTTTTTGATGAAAAAGAGTTTTTACAAGTCTTATGTTGTTAACTGACAAATACTTGCTGATCTTTTTATTTTGTCTTGGCTTCAGATGTGGGGAGTTCTATTGATGACAGTTGTATATACAGTGTTAGAATGTTGCCTTCAAAGTTCTGGTTGCTTTATATGTAGCTATATATAATATTACTGTTTACATAAGTCTGGGCTTCTTAGCTCAAAAGATATTTGTTTCACATTATTTGGGGATGGGGTTACTGTTAAGTAACCAGCAAAAGGTAGAATTATTCCAGCTTTAAAATAGGTGTTTATATCTAGAGGAGGGGCATTTGAGGAGGAAAGACAGATGGTCCTGCCTTCAAAAAGAGGCTGAATTTTTTTTTTTCAGAGCTGAGGATTGAACTCAGGGTCTCACATATACTAGACAAATTCTCTACCACTGAGCTATATCCCAATCCATGAGACTGATTTTTTGAGTGGAGTCTTTACTGAATTGAGAACCTGTGTCTCCAGGTACTATCAAAGTATTCCTCCTGAAACAGCTTGTGGTCTCCTTTTGTTTTCTGTTCATTACTCTGAGTCATGTAGTTTTCCTAGATTTTTTATTTATGTAGCAAAACATTTGCCTTCTTGGGACTGCCTTATTTACTAGGTGTCTTTCCTGTGACCCTCCAGGAAATGGCTGTCATACACTGTTGCTCTAGAGTACGTAAAACACTTAGCTCTACATGCATCACTCAGTCTGCATGCCAACAATCAGCTCGTGCAGTAGTTTGTTGTCTTAACACACTAGAAAAGCATCCGAAGATAGCAGAACACTTAAAGACTATTCAAGTTAGCAATTAGCCTAATGCATTATACCCTATATCCACTGATGTTCAGCATGTCTTTTTTTTTTTTTAAGTTTAAAGATGAAAGTGATGGTAAAACGGAAGTTGAGAATGTAGGTATAAAATAGAAGCTTTGCCTACACACTTGGATGGAAACAGACTCTCCATTATTTATGATAAGCTTTCTAGAAGCCAGACAGAGTGCATTAAAGGGCCCCTGAGTACTTCCCAGCATCTCCTGGGAAGTATTTTTCAGCCTCTCTTGGGAATTATTTGCGCCTTTCTTTGGAGAGGGAGGTTGGTTTCTTAGATGGAACAAAGTACCACAAACTAGGTGGTTTACAACAACAGAAGTTTTATTACAGTTTTGAAGTTTAGAATTCTAAAATCAAGCTGTTGAGTCATGCTCCCTCTGAAACCTGTAGGAAAGGGATCTTTCCTTTCCTTTTCCAATTTCCATTCTTTGGTTTGTAAAAGTATAAACTCCAATCTTCACATAATCTTCTTTTTGTGCATTTCTATGTTTATGTCTCCATTTCTTCTTTTCATAAGACCAGTTACACTGGATCAGGTTCACCTTAGTGACCTCACCTTAACTTGACTACATCTGAAAAGACCCTGTTTCTAAAACTTTCATTGAAAGATGTACTTTGTAGAGGTGAGGGGGTCTCCAGTCCTTGGTCCTGCAAAACATGACATGAATTGGATCATACAGGAGCCAAATTTGAATAACCCACAAGCTAGATAATCCACCTCTAAATAATGTAGAATAAACTAGATTTCCAAGATCCAGTTCAACCTCATTCAGAACAAATTTGATTCAACACATTCAATTAATCTTATCAGTAATGACTTACACACAAGATGATTCAATATATACCTTGGAAATGGCCGTCCTGGATGGCTGAATGTTTGATGCTCTCTCTCCTGTGTTGTTTTTTTTCAGACCTGGTTTTGCTAAGCTTGCTCCCTTAAGTGTGGGTCCACTTGTTTCTCTTTCTCTTTCTTCCCACCTGGTTTGCTTTTAGCTTTTCTTCCAAGCACAGGTGAAATGTCAGCATGATAAGACAAATAGCTCAGCAAAAAGCAAAATAAACTGTCACAAAGAGGAAGTTTAGCATTATTAGACATGTAATAAAAAAAACTATACATTAGACATATATTCGAAAATAAATCTGTAATTTTTTTATTCTGAAAATATTCGTTTAAAAACTTTAAGAAAAAAATGAACAAACTTACAAAGAAAATAAACACAATCTGGGTACCCCTCCATAATTCCAACACTAACAATGACCATTTTACTATTTTGGTATAGTATATAGGTCCTTCCAGATGCATAGGTATAAATTTTTTGTTTTTACAAAATTGATATTGTATTATACATGTGGGTTTATAACCTGCTTTCTCTCTCTCTCTTTTAATATCTTTATTTTTGCTTATTTTTTTGTGGTGCTGAGGTTCAAACCCAGTGCCTCACATATACAAGGCAATCACGCTGCCACTGAGCCACAATCCCAGCCCCACTTTCTCTCTTTTTAATGAAACATATAAGAATCTTCTTATGTCATTAAAGATTTTTCTACAGCATCATCTTATTTCACCTTTCTATAGTAGAAATTATGATCCTTTGTAGGGGTGTATTAAAAGGAATTTGATGGATTCCCTCTTACGTGACATTTTAAGGTTGTATTCAGTATTTTTATTAAAATCAATGGTGCCAGTTAATCTTTGGAAAAATCCACACTTGCTTATTTGCTCAGCATACATTCATAGAAATAAAATCAGTAAGTTAAATTTATGCATAATTGACAAACTGCTTTCTGGACAAGTTGGATCAATACATTTTCTGCCAGCAGTGCTTGAGGGCATGTGTTCTAGCATGTTTAAAAGTACAACATAGTAGAATATAATAAACCGATTTGTTAGATTTTTAAAATGATGATTTTTGTGTTTACCTAGCATGCATGAGACCCTGGGTTCAATACCCAGCACCATCAGAAGAAAAAAAATGATATTTTAATTTATACTTGTGTGACCAAAGGAATAAATATAAGCACATAAATATAAAAAAAACCCACGTTGTTATGTAATTTCCAGTGAAAAAATATGATACTGGCACAACTGCCTATCCACTTGGGGAAAAAAATATGCTTGAAGATTTTTTTTTGCAATTTTGTTGGCCATTCATGTTTCTAATTACCAACTTTACATTTATATAATCATATTTTCTTTATGGATAAATGTTTTTCATATTTTGAAGTCCTTATTTTTATTATTAATTAATTTTTAAAATGATGCCTACATTTTCCCAATGCTTTCATGGATGTTGTTTAACTTCTTTGGCTATTTTCTTTTCTTTTCTTTCTTTTTTTTGAGATAGGATCTGTCTATGTTACCAAGGCTGGCCTCCAACTCCTGCCCTCATAATACTCCTGCCTCAGCTTCTTGAGTAGCTGGAACTACAGGTGTGCATCCCTATAGTTGTAGATTTTAACAAAGAGAAATTAAAAATATTTAGTCAATTTATTATTCTCTTCCTTTATGATTTTATTTTAATTACCAGTCTTAGAATTTCCTTCACAATTGTAAAATTATGTGTATATACTTTTAAAGCGTTTTTGTGATTTTCTTTTACATTTTATTCTTTAACCCCTTTGGATATATTTGATGCAATGCAATTTTTCTCTTTTTCCAAATAAAGTCACTTTCCTCAGTATTCTACTCTTCCAATTGGAAGTGGAATACTAATGTTTATTTCTTCATATTTATATACTTTGATCTACTTATTCCTTTGATCTATTATTTAACCAGCACCACGCTGTTTAAATTGCTGAAACTTTATCACATTTTAAAATTCCTGTGAGTGCAATCTCATTTACTACTTACCGCTTTTAAAATGTTCTTGGAAATGATACTTACATATAAGTTTTTTTTTTATCCTAAAATGTCAGGAAAAAAGTGAGAACAATTGGGCAAACTATTGCCTTGTAAGTGATGTTTGGTTAATCAAGTGCTTAAAAAAAAAAGATAACTTCTCCCCTTGTAAATAGTGATAATTCTGTAGCTCTAAAAGGGAGGACATCAGAGAGAAGACTTTGGGAATAGTCAGCCATGGGTTTGAAACCTGACTTTGTCATTTGTTGGCTGTGGGTTGTGGGTCAGTTACTTCACTTTTAAGAGACCTGGTTTAGTCATCAGTAAAAATAGGGATAATAGGAGCTGGGTGTGTCTCAATGGTACAGAACTTGCCTCGCAAGTGCTGGGTTCTATCCCAAGCAACACACACAGAAATGATAATCATGTTTTGTCTTACAGGGCAATAAGAGGATTAAATGAAAAAAATATTTGCTAACACAGAATATCACTGCTATCAAAGAAGGAGCTTAATAATGTTAATTTCCCTTCCCTTCTGCTGGTCTAGGATCTACTGTTGTAAAACAGTTTTTAATACACATCATCTCATTTGACTCACAAAAGTCTTGACTCACCAGCAATCATAGGGCTTCTGTAGTATTGAATTACATGATGATTTAATAAGATATAGTGATCTTATAGACGACTTTAAAAGATGAACTTTAAAATAGTGAATTTTTAAAAACTTAGACCCATCACTAAAACTTTAGCTACGTTCTTAAGTATGGGATCATTTTAAACAATGATTCAGGACAGCGATATTTCTAACCTTTTGAACAACTTAGTGTATGCAAATAAGAATATTCAGTATACTATTAATGCCTGTGTTTTTAGCAACATACCTATTCTTCAAAAAAAAACTTAATAAATATGTGATATGTTTGTAATTTTAACTTAGCCAGTTTCAGTGATGTTAATAGCAGTTGATTTCTATTACTTTAAACACATTTTTTCCTAGTTGTGGATGGACACAATATCTATTTCTACTTATTTATTTTTATGTGGTGCTGAGGATTGAACCTAGGGCCTCATACATGTGAGGCAAGCACTCTATCACTGAGCTGCAACCCCAGCCCTAAACAAAATTTTTAATTGGAAAATTAATAAGAAACTGATTTTCTTCTCAATTGTCTTAGATTAAGACTAATATTAAACTAGCTATTTGTATCTATGACAACTCTAGAGAAAATAAATATTTAAGCCAGCATAACATACTATGGTCATAAAGAGTCTCTGGAGTCATTAAAATTCGACTTTGAATTTGGATAAGAATAGTATCTACAAAGAAGATTGTTGTGAGGGGAAAGAACCCTGTATACATTAACCAGGTATTGTTGTTGTCTTTGCTATTATTAACTAGGGAATAGCAACATCATGCAGTCCCTTTGGAAGGAAAGATTTAAAATAATTTAAAGCAACAATAATTAAAAATTTCATGTGGGCTCCATGGCACAGGCCTGTAATCCAAGTGGCTCAGGAAGCTGAGGCAGGAGGAAGGTGAGTTCAAAGCCAGCCTCAGCAAAAGTGAGGTACTAAGCAATTCAATGAGATCCTGTCTCTAAATAAGGGAGAAAATAGGGCGGGGGACGTGGCACAGTGGTCGAGTGCCCCTGAGTTCAATCCCCAGTCCAAAAAAAAAAAAAAAAATCAAATAGTAAACTTATGCCAAGTATAACTGTATTCCATGCAGAGGATAGTTTTTTTTTCATGCCTATATATATATAGAGAGAAAAGATTATTTAAAAAAGTATTTGCATGGGCTGGGGGTGTAGCTCAGAAGTAGAGTACTTGTGTACCATGCGGAAATTGGGTTCTATCCCCAACACTGCAAAAAGAAAAATAAAATTATTTGTAGAATTATTACCACACAAAGTTAGTAATAAAAATTATGGCAAAGTTTTTACAAAATTATTACAAATAGATATTTAGAACTGAATCTGAGCCTGCAGGGCAGATATCTGGGAGGTTGTCAACTCAGAGCAAAATCCTCTTTTGATTTTCACATAAAACCTTGTTATTTATATACAGATCTGTCTTTCAACATTTTTCAGAAGCTATCTCAAAAAATCATTTAGGATATTGGGTTTCCTGGCTCTTCTCCAAGTTCTTCCTCCCACATTTAAGTCTTCCTGAGCAGAGGATTTAGATTGAAGTAGAAAGCTTTCTTCTAGATTTGTAAGAGATGTTTTGGAAATCTCAGGAAAATTTGGCATAGGCTTCTCAGTGAAACTGGAGACTATATTTCTGGTTCTCAGTTAACTAATGTTCAGAGAATTAGGCCTTAGAAGAAGCATGGATAAGGGATATTTGAAATCAGCCAAACTTACAGCAAAGGTTACATACTGGTTTATGTTTTGGGGGTGTCTGATTTGTGTCTTAATTAGCAAAGTTTCTTGGCCCTGTGAATATGTAATTCTGTTCTTGAATTAAGGAGAAACACTTTGCTCATGTGGTTTAGAAAGGTTTCCTTTTCTGGTTGTTTTCAGAGTGTGTGAGGTGCTACGTTGTGAAGGTCAGAGAAGTCATGACACACTGTGGGTAAGCTCATCAGCTCCTTACTTCACAGTGAGTTCAGAAGAGCATGATGCAGGCAGTCCAGTAAGTGTGGTCATGATGTTCTGCTGCAGAACATTTGGGTTTCCCTACAGGTGTAATCAGTATGAAGTGAGTCATTAGTCATCACATTTTCTGGAAGAGTCAGAAGAGAAATAGTTTAGGGTGAAATTGAATACAATGTTATAATTCACTTTTGTCATTCATAGAAGAGGATAATGTTCTGCATCAAACTTGTTTACTATAGCCTGGTTCTTATGCTAAGAACTGACTAGTAAAGAACAGAATGAGACTGTATGGTTTTCCCATTCTTGATTTATTATTACAATGGGCATTGCAATAGGAATTACAATAGAAATGTTCGAGGATGCTTTGTGCAAACATGTCCTTTCATATGGTTTTAAAAAATCTGATGGGGTAGGTTATGGAGACAGTGGTGGTAAAGGGCACTATAGAGAGCTAAGTGGCTAGTGAAAGGGATGTGATACGTGGTAACTATGAGTACCATGAATTAAGTGGACCAGAAGGAAGGTACTGGGAATTTCCTTACTTAGGGAACTGGGCACCCATTCACTGGTCTGCTTAAAGGCTCAAATGACTTAGTTGATATCACTGATTTGCAATATGGAGGCTAAAAGGGAGGAGCAGGAAGGTGATTTCCATGCAACAGAGGGAAATTAAATTTCCCAGGCAGAGATGGTTCAAAAAGCAGAGATTTGGCATAGACAAGACAATACAAGTACTATAGTATTTGCTAATGTTGTGAAACCATCTGCAAATTCAAACTGTCAGTAAATATACCAGATATATTCCTCCTGCTTCAATAAAAATATCTACTTCTTTGTGGGCTAAAGAGTTTACTGAATGGAGGTTTGAGTCAAGGTTCAAGGCTTGAGCATCAGAAAGGTAGATGTGCCAGGCATATTTTTTTATCCAAAATGGTAGTGTTGACCATTTTGGTTAAAAAAAATATTTTCACCTCTGGACAATTGATGGGATGAAAAGGAGTTGATACATGAGAGACTTGAAATACAGGGACTTTCATGATTTCCAACAAATATTTCCATACAACCTGTTCCTGGAAGGTCAGGGTTTAGCCCCAGAGGTCTTGGGTCATTCTGCCTCCCGGAGGGCACAGGTGAGACTTTTCCACACTGAACATTTCCCTGGTTCCTCTAATTTTTCCAACTCAACATTCCTTGTGGGAGAAACTTCACCAGTCCAGGAAGTCTTGAAGGAGGGTGTGTGGGTGAGAAGTGGGGGTGTTGGAAAGAAGACTTGAAATTCCTTCGTGTTATCTGCAAATAGAAAGTTCTACTGTCCTCCCCAACCCTGCGCCCCGCCTTTTCCATTACATATAGGCGATCAGGAGGTTTCTCTCATGCTCTTAATCTCAGTTATCTTAGGAAGATCTAAAACCCCCCTTGGGAGACAAACCGAGTAAGAACAAAATAGTATTAGAAGGCTCTTCCCCCTTGTTTTGCCCTTCCCCATTCTCCTAACTCCTTCCTTTCTTCTTTCTCCCAGAAAGGGCAGTTAGTGGAGAGGCCTTTGGATCTACAGCCCAGGCTCCGCCCTACACCTCCAGCCAGGCTTACGTCTGCATTCGTAATTAACAAGTGTACCCGACCGGAGTTTCCTACCCTGTTCTCATTGGGACACCTCGGGCGTGTGTGCAGGGTGGCTCCCAGTCTCTCTAGCCTGGCGTCTCGGGCTGATGGGTGCCCTCCTCCTCGACGCTCCGGGAAGAGCCCAAGACACAAAGCCCTCCACACTCCCGCCCCAGGCAGCCTTAACCCTCCCACTCTTGGGAGGAGGAGTTGGGGGAGGTAGTTTTGGTCTTTTGAGACTTCACTCTCCACCCAAAAGGAAGCCGAGAGGGCCCGCGATGTGGGTGGAGGCTTGAGCAGGAGGGCTGCAGCCCCGGGCTCCCGCAGTTCGCAGACCCCGCCCGCCAGTGCTCAGCTTCTGGTTCCTCCACTCTTTCCGCATTCTTGGCCTCTGCGGGACCCAAGGCCAGAACTGTCAAGACCAGGAGCAACTCCTCGCTAAACTCGCCTAGTTAGACACAGCCATTGGCAATGGGGGGAAGAATCGACGGGACGATCCTGCTGGGGGTTTCAATATCCTCAAGCAACTGTGGGGCGGGGCTGGTGAGTCTTTAGATTGAGCTGAGCAATAGATGACGGGTCTCCAAAGCTTGATTTTCCTGAGGCCAGTGATCAAGGCTCTCAAGTCCTCTACTTATACTTTTATTCCAGCAAATGGGCTCCCGGCTCTAGGCTTGTGATTTTGGGGTGCTGGGCCCCAAGTTCATATAAGAGTACCTCAACTGAGAGGAGTGCAGCAGGCCACAGCTTTTGTAAGCTAGAGAGACACGGTTCAGATCTTTCCGGGTCCTTGGAATCCGCATTTGAACCACCTCACCAAATTATTCTTGTTTGTGATTTCCCCCTTTCATAGGCCGTGAAGTCAACAAACTCCCCACATGGTGGCTCCCTTTACTAAAGCTGAGTGAATTGCACAAGGAGTCTTGGAAATTTTCAAATATTTCTCCAGATTGAACTCATTTCGGAATTCGCGTGGGAGGAAAGAGTAAGGATTTTAATGGGGTTCACCTTTGACGTGAAGCAAGGCGGAAGACAGGAAAGCCACAGTAGGTAATAGCTTTTGGGCGCTTTAGTAAGAAAGGCTTCTCTGCTTGATTATCCGGTGGTGTTCACCGCAGGCTCTTTTGTGTGGGAGCAGAGGCAGAACTGAATAGCGAACACACGCATGTAAACACTCCGATATAAATCAGCGGACATGTGCAGCCAAGACAAAGAGATTCATCCCTATGTAGATATGTTTTAAGTTTTATTGAAGGCAGGAAGTCTAGAGCATAGCTAGGAAGAAACTGAGGAAGCAGGCAGTTTTGGTCCACTCCTGGCCAGGAATAAGTACAACTTTATCTTCTTGGAGGAAGTATTAAATCTCAAATAAGAGCGGGAATGGCATTGAGAATGAGAAGCATTATGTTTTGGGAAAAGCATACAGAGCTAATACAGCTTATTTAAATGTTAGATTCAAATCATAGTAACAGGAAACACTCCCACTTAATTGTCAGACTCTAATTTTTGTGTTAGATCCAAATAATTAAAATGCACATTAATGTTATAGACGTGATTCCCTTTTAAAGGAAATAGACCCGAAATCTCTTACTGGAGTAAAAATTTATGAATCTTCTTGATTACAGGGACTTGGAAGTTCAGGGTGGATGTGCTCTTCCCTTATTGCTTTTCTCTTCATACGTCATTTTCAGTTAAAAAAAATTTAACCATTCCCAAGGGAGGGATTTCTATTAGAAATCCTCAGCAAGTGAATTTGTACTGGGAATCCTCCTGTTTTCCAGTCTGTCTGTATTT